GGGGGGGCTCTGGGGTGGGAGGTGGGGAGTTTGGAAGTGGGGTGGGAGGTGGGGGGCTCGGGCAGTGTGAGGGCTCTGGGGTGGGAGCTGGGGGTTGGGTATTGTGGGGGCTCTGGGGTGGGAGGTCTCATGTGGAGGGTTGGGGGTGGGATGGAACACGTGGTCACTGGGGTGGGATATAAGGGGTGGGGTCTCTCTTGGTGAAATGGGGTGTGTCTGCTGTGTGGATATTTGTCAGTGGGATGTTTCCCTTTCATCTCCCCCCTCCTGGGTTGTATTTTGGACAAAGAAGTAGAAGGTGTCTCCAAATCAGTCTGTGTCACATGAGTTTTCTCTTTGCTTTGTCTCTCCTTGTTCCCACCTCTATTTTATTGTCACTGGGCATTTGAGGAGAGTCTGCCTTAGATTTGCACATTTTTCTATGATGAGATGTCTGCTGGCCTGATAATTCTGAGCATGGCTCTGTAGCAGTCTCCCTTGGTTTTGTTCTGTTTTAGGCTTTGCTGTAGTGTTTTTAGCATCACTATCTTGGGTGGGTTTGTTTGCTCCATTGAACTGGAGATTAATATTGTCATGTCCAGAACAGGATCATTATCTAGGAGTGGGTTATATTTGTTAGCTGATTTTAGCTTTTCATCCTCTACTACTCTGCTGCTGTGGGGGGAGGAGGGGATGTTTACTGTTGTGATTGAGGTGGTGCCAGAAGTTGAATATTCTTCTGTGCCTGGGCTAGGAGGAGGTTTGTACTGATAATTTTTGCCAGCTGGTGTAGTTGGTTGTTAAGACAGGGCCCAAACCTTTTCTCCTATATAGTAAGGTGAGTTAGATTAAGTTCTCAAGTAACTGGAGTAGTGATTTTATTGGAAAATTTGTAATCATTTAATGGCTTATAAATTCTTCAGAGGGCTTTTTTTCAAATGCTTTTATAGCTATTGTGAAGTTCCCCAAATGCTTTTATTTTGGAGGCCTAGGTATGTATAATTCAATGTATTCTGTTTCTACATTCAGAATGTTGGCTGGCTGTTTTTTGGAAAGTATATGGAGAGAGATTGGGGTTGTTGGGTGTTTTTTATTGTAGCAATCTGCAGAATAACTCATGTGATGGCAGTATATTTCTAAAGCATATTGATTATTATTTGGGTGATGGTATGATTAGATCATCCTTTATAGAACCATTGTTTTCCTGCTGAGTGGGTTAGTGGAAATCCCAGGTTTGGTGGCCGTTTCAGTAAGGTTGGTACATTCCATAAGAGTTGCCATAATAGGGCAGAGTCCATCTAGCCTAGTATCCTGTCTCCAATAGTTGCCCATAGCAGAGCTTCAGGGGAAGTGTACAGAACAGGACAATTATGGAATGATCTGCTCCTGTCTTGCACTGCTGGCTTCTTGCAGTTGGTAACTGGTAGGTATCTGATGTGCAGGGGAAAAGAGTAGGGCTATCTGATAACATTTGTGCACTTTGTCAAAGCAGTAAAGAATTTTGAACGGAGATGTCAGGACAGTGTGTTGGAGGAGGGGGCATCTGGAGGTGTGCTCATATCCCAGGGCAGGACAGAGTCCCAATTGCAATTCTGCTCAAATCTTCATCTGTTTACAGTAATGGGTTGTCCATCGGTCTTTCAGTGGCATCATGAGCCGCTGCTGCTAATGATAACCAGTCTTGGACATGTTGTCTCTTTAGGCCAGGTGTAGCAGAGACAGAAGATACCTGCTTCTCCGTTCCAGGCCCCTCTAGCCTCAAACATGGCGGGTGGCATTACCGACACAGGGGAGCTGTACTCTCCTTATGTGAGTATTACCACTGGGATTCACCACTGCTGTTTGTTCAGTGTCTTATCTTCACAACCTGCTTACTCTCAGGGTATGTTGTTACTTATATCTTCCTGATTCCCAGTGAACAAGATAATCAATGGCAAAGTTGCAAGGAATGCTAGAAGATATTAGGATAAGGGCAGTAGAACATGTTTAGCTTGTTGCCCAAGGGATCTTGGTTTGAATTACCACAACAAGGGCCACTTGGGAGTTTGAAAGTATCTAGAGTTTGGTGAGTTAGCTTAGAGAACTTTCATCCTGTCTTTCAGACTTTATATGTTAAGTTTGGCTTGGTCCTTTTTTCACCTGTATTTATGGTCAGAAATGTGAAAATGGCATCACCTTTCTGCGTGTCTCTGGTCCATATGTCTTTTGAGACACATCTGTTCACTGATACAAACTAGTTTTAAATAATCAGTTAGAATGCTTAGTATTTGCATATTGTTTTACATCGCCAGTTACTCTACAAATCTTAAAGGGACACTGTCAACCTGATACTTAATTGATTGAAAAAATGAGTTACAGGTAGTTTGATACTACACCTGCCCTCTTGCCCATTTTTATGGTTTTACATCCACATTTTTAAAAAAAGTTTTCCTCCTCTCCCCTGATCCTGTGTGAAAGACTTGCACAAATAGGTGCAGCTGTGTGGGATGCTGAAATTCACTATCTACAAAGCATTATCAAATATAAAAAAAACAAACTGAAAGCTTAAGGGGGCAAACCTTTTTTCCTCTGATCTGTTTGTTAGTCATCTTACATGTTAATTGTAACAATGATAAATTAAAAAAAAAAAATCAGACAGACATGATTTTTCAATGGGATGTCCCAAATGATCAGTCCTCACAGCATCCTTTATGAGGTAGGTAAGTATAATATCCATTTTACAGATGGGGAAACTGAGGCATTGAAGTAAAGTGACAGTCACTACCAGAGCAGGGATTAGAATCTCAAGTATTTCTGGCTCTCAGCCTTGTGCTCGGAACACTAGACCTGACTTCTCTTCAGCCTGGGCCCTGCAAAGACAATACAGCTATGTGAGCATAAGCTAGAGTCTATTCTTTCTTATGCATAATCTCAAAATTAGTAGTTAAATTTGGATTTCTTGATTTATTACGCTGATGATATAAATGGCAGAGTATACTCAGGAATCTAAAATACTATTCTGAAGTGTGGGATTTGCTGTATTAACTCCTGCATATTAAAAATGCCTGGCTAGTCTGAGGCACTAGTAACCATTTTAAGATCAGATATTTCATGAACCCACAATGCTAGCAATTAGTTCTGTATACCACCAGAAATGCTGTTTTTTTTTTTTTTTTTTATCTAATGGGGTTCATAAAATTGTCACTACCCCATATTACTTCCCCAGAGCTTCATTTCTGACGCGATCTTAGTGGTTATCTCAAGACCTATTAAAGATAGAACAAATGCTTTCCACCACCTGAGATCCAGGAATCTCAACTTTCAAATGCTATAAACATTAATCTCGAGTCTAGGGACCCTCAAAAGCTGAGGGTAGAATTGGGCATTATGCTCATAAGAGAATTGGCAGCTAAAAGCAGGCGAAGGGAACAGGGCAGCAACACAGTAATCAGAAAAACCTGATTTTAAAGCATTTCCTGTCCGATTACAGTTTTTTGATAATTTTTGTTGAGTCTTGTGCTTTTGCATAGTCTTGTAGTCTTAAGCATTTTCATGTCCAAGTGATTCCAGTTGACTCAGGTGGAGAAAATATTATGTGAGAGAAGATGAAGTCACTTTTTTTTAACTTGAACTACAAATGGCACTAATAGCATGAACTTCTCAGACGTTGCTAGCATAGGGAATTGGTGCAGAGGTACCTTTTTAAATGTTTGTCTTGCAACTATTGACATTTTTTCATAGTCAGCATTTAAAAAACCCACTAATAAAGTAGTTGTCATGCTCACTTTCAAGGTCCAGTATTTTGTGACTTGCCAAGAGCAGAAACATTTAGGTCCTGAAAGCTTTAGTATTGGTTCACCAATGTTGAGAAGGAAATCTACTCTCTTCTTAATGGGTTTTGATTTCCCCATTTTAAGTGAATTTTCAGTACTGACTTTGGCAAAATCATCTTTTGACTAGTAAACCAACCCAATTTGATTTTTGCCATTGAGGGGGATTATGGAACCCTGGGATGTTGTTTTTCTGACTACATGCATAGTTCAAAATGTTAGTGTTGCAGAAATCTCCTGGAGTCT